TTTTTTTTGAATCAGTGTTGGGGAGCAAAGATGCTACAATTTGTGACAAAGTTAATCAGCTGAATTCATTAATGAAGAGATCCTCCTTTTTTAACTTTAGTTTATACTTAACAGATTGCACAGCAACTGTTCAGTTCTACACTACTGTTGTGAAAAGTACACACTTTGACATAAATGCTCAATGTCTTTTGTTCTTTTAATAAGATATGGGAGGCATGGCATTGAGTGAAATGTGATTGTTTGCCCTTGTTTGAATCTAGATTTAGAACATTAGCAAACTATTATATTTGCAAATTTAGGTCTTGATATGATAGATATGAACTAAGAAAAAGGTTAACTAAAAATACGCTAAGCACAAGTAGTACAAAAACAATACGCTGAACAGCAGCACGAACATGAGTCTGCGTGAGCAGATGAGTACGAATGAATACAGTAACATTGAAACAGATCAGCAGCAGCATGAAACAGATCAGCAGCAACATGATGTGATTTTTTTCCACAGTGATTATTCTGGTTAGAGATTCATGAGTCTAACAGCCTCAGGGTAGAAGCTGTTCCTTTATAAAATATGTAAGATTTATGGAATATGTTATTGCTTTAGAAAGATTTCCCACATCTTAGTTGACCTCATGCCATTTGTTGGTTTTAACTATTTAACCAGAGCACATTTTATTGTTGCTCTCATAAGTACAGTAGTTTTAACAGAAATTTACAAGCATATCCTATAGTAGTTCAAGTAATGCAACTCTGGGATCTTTTACAAGATTTCATTAAAACGTCTTCTTGAGAGAATCTAATCTATTTCTATATGTAACTAACTTTGAACATGACCAAAGAATATATGTACGGGTCTCAATTAGTGCAACACATTCTCTCCAGCTTGTTTTTAACATCTTGAGCATATTGTAGGCATCATAACCATCCATCCATCCATCCATCCATCCATCCATCCATCCATCCATCCATCCATCCATCCATCCATCCATCCATCCATCATCTTTACCCGCTTCTTCCTTTTCGGGTCGCAGCAGTCACTGGTGCCCATGTCCAACCATCACTGTGCGAGAGGCGGGGGACACCCTGGACAGGTCTCAGGTCCATTACAGGGCGCGTCATAACTAGTGTTCTAAAATTCTGTTAATGTATTACCCTTTATTTAAAATCTCTCCATGACATTAGGTTTGTTACAGATGTGCTTCACTACAAATTTCTTCCCGTTTATCTTGAGATGTTTCTGTATCTAGTTCTGCTTACATACGTTATCTAAATTATATGATATGATGCAGGTGAGGTGATTTTTTTCCCCCCTTTCAATCAAGTCTCTACAAATGATATAAATAATCCCTTAATATAACTTCATCATTTGGATTTAAGTTCATAACTGTTTTCACCTTTTGTGCTTTGTTATAAAAAAAACCCTCTTTAATTACAGGAAGAAGTCTGTGTGTGTTTCTGAGGTTAAATGATTTCATTAGTTCAAACGCTGCAAAGCATTCATGATTATAAAGTAGAAATCTTCATAAATTTGTGAAGTAATGAACTTGTGTATCTAATATTGAAAATTCTCCTTTACTTGAGTATTTTAACTTTTGCCATTTGAAAGGAAGGTAGATGAAATGAATGACTTGCAACACATTTTAGTGTTAGTCTGTTAACCAACAAAACTTAATCAGGAAATGAAAATATTTGGAACACATTTTCCATAGGTGTGTATCCACAGAATACACTATTATGCTCAAGTTTATCATTAGTCTTTAATGTACTTTTAGCTCCAGTTTGACAGTACTTTCTACACTTGCAACTAATTTTTATACAGTATTCATGAATGTTGCGGAGACATTCAGTGGCAGAAGTCTGTCGTTTGTAGAGCAATAACCTGGTGTGTGGGTTGAAAAATGTATTTGTGTGTAGCTGAGACCAATAGTTATTTGTCATCTGTTTCAATTGCTTTATCGTTCATAGTTTTCTGTAGAGGTATTAAATATGTATGCACTTTGTTCGGCAGCTCAGACAAAACAAGTTAATAAAGTTTTGGTCACAGATCAAGATGATGTGATCTAGTGAAAGTAAATATTCATCATTATTGATTTACAGAAGAAGTTAAAAGCTTTACATATTTCTTCAGCATTGTTTGATAAACACGCCGTCATGTTTTTTCAGCAGAGGAATAAAACCCACAAGGTTTTCTTGATGGTGATGTTGTTTGCTCTAACACAGTCGTTTTTACTGTCCTTTTCTGCAGCGTGTTGTCCATCTGTGTTGTAATGCTGGCTCCCACGTTGCCTCGTTGTAATCCCCCAAAGCATGACCCTTCCAACATGGTGTGTCTCCTCTGTGGAGCGGCTGCCAGTTCTGGCTCTGGCATGTGGCGCCGAGCTTCTTGGCACCAGTTGTTTGTGGCCATTTGGGGTGTAAACAACAGTGTCGTCAGAATGTATCGTCACAGTGGGTTTTACTACAAAACTAAACGGAGAGGAAGTGGGGATGGAGGTTATTTTTTCCACTTCACTTACTTAAGATGTTGGTTCAGAGAAGAGACTATATTGCACTGTTTGCCTTTTCTTTTTTTAATTATATCTACAAAACACATTCATGTTTGTTTTTACACAGTTTATTGGTGTGCAAAAAAAAATAAAAATCTTCAGACACCTTGAAAATGTCGAGCCACTTAAACAGTGTCACACTGTTCTCACCTCTGTAACCAGAGAAAGGAGCCCCGCAGGAGGAGAAATCAAAATCACAACCTTTCAACGTGTAACGTGTAACATGTAACGTGTGCTTGTGCGTGTGCGTGTGATGGCAACGTGAAGAACGAGGGTGAGATGGGGATTCACATGCAAGACCAGTTCATTTTTGTTTGTCCTCTAGTACGCTGTTTCTTCCAGTCTTTATTTGGTCCTTTTCCATTTACAGTTTTGTTATTTCGATATGTTTACATGTTTATGAGCCAAAAGAAAACATTTTCTATCAATGCATGTAGCAAACATGATCTCTGAAACACAGAGCCTAAATGCTATTTTTTATTTTTTTTCCTGTTTTTTGTAAATATTTCTAAAATATGATAAATAGATGGAAATTGAGCTTTTTAAAGACAAGTGTAAGTTTAGACAAATTTACTACATTTATCAAATGTGGTAAAATGGGTGGGCGGCGCAAGGTTTGTCACCTTTTTCATCCCTTCTGAGTTTGTTATTATGAAAAGAGCACAGGAGGTCTTGATTTCAGCTCCCTGCCTCAGCTGCTCTCTGCCGTGTTCTCGGCCACACCCACTTCATCAGCTGATCAGCTGCAGGAGGAAGCTTATCTTGCAGTGTGGGCTGCACAAAGGCTAAAAATAATTTATTTTAAATAAAAATTCCATTCCCATCGTACGGCTCATCCATCAATCAGCCATTGTGTGTCATGTCCAGTCTTACTTTGAAAAACCGTGACAGAGCGAGTCCAAGAAAAACGAACCGCTACGTAGCGAGGGACTACTGTATTCTGTATAATCCAGTAAAGTATTCTGTCACCTGTAGTGACATGTCTCTCCTAACTGACTCCTACTTCATAGTTTATGGAAAGCTGTTTTTATATTAAGATCCAGTGATTGATTTTAACATTCTAACAGATGTTAAAGCAGATCACAAATTTGCTTATTTTTCTTGTGTATTTTTGTTTGTATCTACTTAAAACAAGTACCGTAAAAGTTTCAATGCTGGTTTATAAAATGGTACTGTATGTACTCCTTTTCTGTTGGATTTTATGTGTACAAATACCTTCGTACTGTAACGTAGAGCACTTCATTTTTTTGTCAGGTGTAAAAAAAAAAAAAGTGCAAGCAAAGCGGGAAAGAAATGTCTGTTATTCACCTATTGAGGTGAAAGCCTTCGGATCAATTTAGATGACAAATGAGGTGATATAATTTGAGGCTGTGAAGCACGCTGTAATTTGCCTCATGGGGATGGCCCTCATAGTATTTTATGTGCATTCACTTAACGTCATTTACTTCATGGGATTATAGTGGTTGTGAAATAGTGTTAAGGGAGAGATTAGATAAAGCGTGAGCTGTGGGATGCGGAGGATTGTTCACAGTTTAATGTGTTGGCCTTCATCTTTTCTTTTTTAGGTGTTTTATGTGACGGAGATTGTGCTTTATTTCAAAAGACTGTCAGTGGAGCTCTGTGGAGTCTGTCAGCACGTATTTCATTGTAGCTCCAACCCATGAGACCTCAGACTGTGAACCTTCTTTAAGGAAGGCAGGCTCTGCTCTGCCACCAGGAAACGGATAACATCTGTTTGGAAACCAAACTCTCAAACTAACAGTGGCACAGCTGGCTGTAATGAAGTTTTGCATGATCCTAATTCAACTTAAGCTATCAAATACCCAGAAACACAGAACTGAGTCCTGCTTTTTCTACATGGAGACTCTGAAATGAAGAAAGTACACCAACATCACCCATCACATGAGTCTTCAACAGTTTGAAACAGATTTAAATTGTAAATATTAAAACACCTCTTGTGTCTTTATACCTTGCTTCCAAGGAGCTAGACGTTCCTGTAATCTTTTGAAGTGATCTGACACTTCCTCTGTGCACAATATTCATGTTTTTAAAGCACATGCATTTACATGCACAATGTACTGTGATGATCAAGTGCATGACTGGACATAAAACGAGTGGAACATGCAGCCAAAGTCTGTAGAAAACTTTGAAAAACCTCCAGAAAAACTACAAGACTACTTTTTAAAAAAAAAGCAAAGCCTGGCTGCTTTTGAGCACAGTACAGAACATGAGAAATGACTGAGGATACTTACTTCTCTTGCTTTTGAGGTTTTGTTTGCAAATTTGCAACTGCTATACATTTAAAGTGTGAAAACAGGTGTTTGACTTTTGAGATAACATTTCTTATTTGGTCTCTGATTTTATTGACAAAGTTTCCAACGATGCCTATGTGTGGTTTTAAAGAAGCAACCTGGGTCTGAACCTTTCTGTGAGCCACTTTGTGTTTCTGTCTTTCAGAGCGCAGCAATGGAGGAGACAGTTATTTGGGAACAGCACACAGTAACACTACACAGGGTACGTATTTGTATTCTCCCTCTGCTCTCTACATCCATCTTTGTCCAAGGTTGGGGGGGGTGGGGGGTCTGGATTTTTTTTCTTGCCACCTTTTCCCTTCTGTTTCTTGTTTTACATCTTAAAAAATATGTTCTAACTTTATTTAAAGTTGTTTGTAAAACAGACAAGAGAGAAAAGTTGTAACAGCTTGTTTTTCCCACATGAATCTTTTCTACATTTTTATTCAAGTTTTATTAAGGAACAGCACAAAAAATGTACATCATCAACTTACATAGGATACATCTTTTACACATCTCTTTTCTATTTTCTGTATTAATTTATGCAGTTTACATCTTCATGTAATTACAGTATTCAACATTAATATTCCTTTTTCTTTCTTTTTGAAAACAAACACAAGTAGAATTTAACAATTTATAACAACAGTACTGCGTATCTAAAGAACAGCGGGTGTCACTTAATTTTCATTTGTTGGTTTCGGATCTGGTATTCAAGACAGTCCTCTATGGTTTCCAACAATCCTCAAATTTTATCTTTTTCCAGTCTCATTACAAATGTAAGTTCCTCCATCTGACGAATATCTTGAATCACATTTATCCAGTCTTCTAGTGGGGGTGTCTTGTCAGTCATCCACTACCGAGTGATTGCTTTTACTGGCAGTTAGCATAATATTCACTA